GAGATTGGGATAGCCATGAAACTCAATATAAGGTACACAATGGAATCGACAGGCTTCATTGTGATGGCACAATGACATGCCATGACATGGCCTCGACTACGGAGGGTTCTCAAAGTCCATGACGTCAATTAATGGTAGAAAGCCAGTCACGACAACTGCAAAGAAGAATATCCATTATTTCCTGCGCCCAACAGCTGGAGATCGCCCCAGGGGAGGATAAAGATTCATCCATGGGAGCATCTAGTACGGGCTACGCAAAACTATCCAAATCCGATCACGAACCCGATCACCTGCTTCGAACATGATGCACCATCACCTTGACGATGTCTTCATCTCAACAATCATCGTAATCCTCGCGAATGAGCTGTGCACCCTTCTCGCCAATCATGAACACAGGCCCAACGATATTGACATCTGGAAGCACCGGGATGATGCTGCAGTCGACGATGCGCAGCCCATCGATACCGTACGGTTTCAGGCGCGCGTCAACAACGCCGCCGTCGTCCTCGCGCCGCATGCGCGCCGTGCCTGAGGCGTGCCAGTTGGGGATCGTGTTGGCCTTGACATACTCGAAGATGGCGTCGTCGTCGTCCGAGCTGACAGCAGCGCCGGGGCTGACCTCGCCGTTGTCGGGGCCGTAGGTGAACTTGGCGAGCTCTGGGTGCGCGAGGATCTTGCGAAGGTACTTGAAGGCCTGGATTGCGATGGCGCGGTCGGCATCGTGCGTATAGTACTGTGTTTGTCAGCCGCTTTCCCTTTTCTCCAAGCCGACCGAAGGCAAGCGTCTCAAGGTGAGATGTTGGGGGATTACTCACGTTGGGGTTGATGTTGGGTGCAGCAGACATGGAGGTTCCCCGGAGAGTGATGTTGCCGCGGGACAGAGCCACCATGCTGCTCGCTGTCAAGGAAATGTACGACTCATTGGCGAGCGGCGTGTAGAACGGGGTCGGCCCGCCGGGGTAGAAGATGGATTCGAACAGATACTCGATGTGAGACTGGTCGCTGAGACCGGCATCTACGACGGCGCCGGCGCCAATATCCCGAAGCTCTTCTTCAGGGAGTCTCTGGAACCCGTTGGTAATGCCTGATGGGGCCGTGTACACTCCAGTGCCGTTGGTGTAGAACTCCTGCTAGGCATCAGTACTCGTTCAACCACGAGGCGAAGCAGACATTGGCACTGACCTCTTGAATGGCTTGCAACAGGTCAAAGTCTGCGTACTGGCTTGTCGAGAACTCGTCGGCAACCGTTGCCATAATGCTGAAGACGCTGTGATCGTCGAGGCTGCGACATCATCAGTCAATGCTGCCATGTTGAGCAGGGTCACTTTCACTCACTGCTGACCGACGTTCTCGTTGATGTAGACAGGTTCGATCCCAAACTTCTCCAGTTCTGCGGCTGGCCCAACTCCCTAACATCACATGTCAGTTCCTGAAGGACTTCTATCGCAGACCGGCGACATACCGAAACCATGAGCAGCTGCGGCGTCTGGAAAGCGCCCATCGACACAACAACCTCCTTGGCCGCATGCACTTGATACATGCGTCCGGAGGGATGATCAAGGAACTGCACACCCGTCGCGCGGGGCTTCTCTCCCTCCGTGTCCCACAGCAGGCTCTGTACCGGCGCATAGTACAGCACGTCGAGGTTGGTCCGATTGATGGCCTTCTTCAGGTATCCGTCGTAGCTGGAGCTGCGCAGCAGATTGGCGTCGAGCGTGGCTGTTCCCTGCTTGACTCCGGTGCTGTTGCCTGTGTTGTAGTCGTGCACGATCGGAATGTTGGCCGCCTCACAGGCGTGCATGAAGGCAATGCCCGTCGGCGGGACAAAGCCCTGGTAAGCGATCTCGAGAGGGCCGTCGCTGTAGGCCGATGGGTCCCACGTCTTGTATGTATTATCGAAACCTTTGGTCTCGTCTTGAGGGTTGAAGTGAGTGCCCTATGCTTGTCAGCCTTCGTTTCGCTTTCCTAGCAAATGAGGCCGTCTTCACATACCTTGATGAAGAGAGGGTATACATCAGCCCAGCTCCAGCCGGGGTTGCCCAGATCTTGCCATCTGTCGTAGACGGTCGATGTACCACGACCATAGTAGAAGCCATTGATTGCGCTGCTGCCGCCAAGACCTCTGCCACCTAGACGGGTCAGCCCCCACATGCATTGATGGAGAGGATGGGTTGGACATACGGTAGTAGGTGAGGATCTTGCCATCGAGGCCCTCTTGGGGCACAGTGTCAAATCGCCAGTCAATGGCAGAGCCTTATTCTTCGTCAATACCCAGAGATCGGTCCACTGTCCCATGGAAGCATACCGGCAAGCAGCTGATTGCCCCCGAGAGGCTTGTAGGCAGCGACAATGCTAGGGTCGGGTCCAGCCTCGAGGACGAGGACGCGATGCTTGCCGGACTCGGTGAGGCGGTTCGCGACCACGAGGCCGGCCGTGCCACCTGAAAACCGTCAGCAACGATCGTTGAGACTACTTGGTAACGCACAGGAATTTTACCTCCAGCAATGATGAAGTCGTACGCCTCCTCGATCTCAGCCCGATCAAGTCCTTGGATGGGGCGGCCAAGAGCTGCTTGAATACCCAGTAGGGCAACAGCCACGGGCAGTGTAGATGAAAGCATACTGAACAATTGGGACGAGCAGCTTCCTCGAAATTCGGACGAACGGCAGGTCTTTGCTAAGGAGCAAGCGAGAGGAGAGATCAGGCAGGTCACTCAATCTTCAGAGAGTCGCAGAGCTACAAGGCGTCTTCAATGCCTCGAATGACGAGAACAAGAGATCCGGACAGACCGAGGATTCAAAGAGGCCTACCACATGCTGCTGAGCAAGAGCACGAGGATCTCCAACTTATAAGCTTGCCCTTCATCATCAACCCCCGGGGCAGCCGACCAAGCTTACGCTTTCCCCGCGCTGACGGCCAAGACGCCTTGCACGTCATCCTAGATTGGTGATGCGCGTTGGATCGAAAGGTCCGGCCAAACAGAAGACAAGCAACGGGAGACAAGTGCGCCTCGCGTCCCGTCTAGGCTCAGCGACAGCACATGCTAGGCAACGCCAGCAACAAGACACGCGGGATGGCTGGGATTAGCCTCGAATTCCCATGCAGCAATTGGAGAGAAACGCCTTGCGGAAAGCTCTGTCTTTCTTTCGCGTGCTTTTACGTCCGAACAATCTACCTCTCCCCGCGTGTTGAGGCATGGTGGGGATCACGGTGTGGGCGGCAAGGCCCGTCAATGGTCGAAAGATGACGCCCGAAGTGGCCGATAGGACGGTGATCGGGGCTAGCGTCGTGCGACGATGACGCTGTTATGGTTGTAACGGGTGGAATCCTTCGCGACATACTCGTACAGATTCGTTGGCCTCATTGGACGTAGGCGGTCGCACCGAACGCCAAAGCTCGACAGGGCGGACGTTGGAGGACGGATGAGAGCGTGGTGCGGCTAAGGGGCCCGGTTGCCTTGAGCTTGAACTTAGAGTTAAGAGCGAGCTAGAAGTCAAGGCTGGGAGAAATGAGGGGAAGCTTGACGCCATGGGTAAGCTCCTATTGATCATGGCTGCCGGAGCAGATCAAGGTTCGGCTGCAGATGGTGGCTGGAAACGGTTCGGTGAGGGCACAGAGACTTGGCGTTGAGCGATGATGTTACTCGGAAGCGTAGGACAAGCCCAGACACTGAGGGATGGAATCTTGAGGGGGCCTCAGATCAGAAGGCTAGGCGTTCCCTTTCCACCGTTCCCCCCCTGATCCTGTTCACGTCGGGCGCTGCCACGCATACCCATACCTTGATCTTCGCTGTCGATCTCGCAGCCTCGGGGAAGGCTTGCGTGTCAAATGATGTACGATGCACGATGTGCCGGTGGGAGGCTGAGTGGATAACCCAGCATGTTGGCTGGGCAAGGCATTATTCCCATTACCATGCCCGAGACCCATGTCACAGATCCAGATCCATTGGTAAAGCATAAAGTTGGATCCGGAATCCGGGCACTTCTACCGCCGCGAAGCAGATCAACGCCTCCCGTCGCCTTGTGGGGGGCAATCCATTCAAAAGGTGGAGATGCTGACGTGACATTGTAGGACGGCCAAATACAGTGTGGCTTGTAGACGAATCTTTTCATTAACTCGCTCATCAGTGAATACCCCCTCTCTCTCTAAACGTTCAGCGTAGCCATCGTATAACAACAAATCACGCACATCCCTCTCAGCGCCATCATGTCGTCGTCTCAGCAAGTCCTTCGCCGTCGGAATGATGCCGGGCACGGAGCCGCCGTGCTGTCCGAAGTCCTCCGCAACCCCGGCAACCCCGCACCCATCACAGCACCACCCTCAACGGTAGGCTTTCCGCCCGTGCCGCGCAGCTCGAACTATCATACATGCTTACACAGACACCCAGGTAGACGCTTTGAAGGAGCATGGCAACACTTATCACTTTGACTCCTTCTCGGTTGTGGATGCCCTCGAGCTTGGCCACCTCCTCCACGCTCGCCTGCATCCCATCGCCGACACGCAGCCCACTCTCATCTCCATTGCGCTGGCGAATACCCAGCAGGTCATCTTCCAGACCGTCACCGGTCGTGGCGTGATGCCCGATAACGAGCGATGGGTCGCGCGCAAGCGGAACAGTGTTCTGCGCTGGGGCGTCAGCTCCTACTTCCTTTCCCTCAAGTACTCCGGCGACGAGGCCGCGTTTGCCGCGAAGTTCGCCATGAGCCCGGAGCAGGCATCCACCTACGCCATCCACGGCGGTGGTGTTCCCATCCGTGTCGCCGGCGTTGAGGGCGTCGTTGCCGTTGTGGTCGTGAGCGGCCTCAAGCAGACCGAGGACCACGGCGTTATCATGGACGTCATTGCTGAGAACTGGGAGGCTGTCAATTAGCTAGCCATATCGACTTAAAGAATTACATTTTCAAGTTGCTTCTGCATTTCCAAGTTACTTCTGAATAATCAGTCATCGGAATAATAGAACTGAAACGAAGAAACGTGGCACTCTGAGCCACCTGAACGTAGCGCAACGTCGTCGACAATTTCAAATTATGGGTTACTACACAAACAGTCTCCTTGCTCAAGAAATCGACGGCATTCAAGCAAGTCCAAAAATGAAAGTTGTCCACCTCAACCAAAGCTAGTTTGCGGGTGCCGCGCCTCATCCGCACATCATGCTGAACATCAAGCTGCGCGCTCAGGTCTAGTAGGATTAATGATATATTCGCAACGTAGGAAATCTTCAGCTCCTTCAACTTGAAAACGTTCTCTAGTTCACTGGGAGGGGCGGTTTGACCGGAGCGGACTCACGACGACCACATGTACTGTAACTCAGATCCGGCAAAAGCCCGTAAATTCGCCAATTGCGGCAAGCCAACACAACAGCGACGTGTTTCTACCGCCGCGATGAGCTTGAAAAAGGAACGATTAGAACTAAGTCCTGTTGGCAAGCGATACAATGGGTGTCAGTTGGGCATATGACTACGCTTGGGATCAATAGTCTTGAGGGTCTACCTCAGCAAGTAGCCGTTGATGCAGTCCTTCGAGAACACACATCATACCGTGCAGAATCATGGAATCTGAACTCAAAGGAATGATCAAAGATTCAGGATGAATCGTCACACGTCATCTTCGACAGGAGCATCATGAAGCTAAATTCTGCGGTCACTTACTGCCGCACCGTCAGTGCCTGGCTTAGAGCAGAGTGAAGAGGTCTTCTACACGTGGTCCACGGGCAATAGATTATAGATTTGGGGTCGTAATACAGCTGAATTCGGGCCCTCCGCAAATAGGGGGCTCTCCGCAGCTCTTATATACGCGTTTTCGTAGTTCTTAGCCCCTGACTAGCCCTCTGATCCGTGGCTCTGCAGGGGTCTCCTGACACGCACGCATCAGCACCTCCTCTCGTCGGCAAACTGCAAAGCAGTAGCTAGGAAATCTTTGTGGGGGTAGGGTTCCCATACAGACCAAATTGTACGAATTCATCTCGAGTCTCCTGCTACTGGCGTTCTTTTTCTTGAATGCATCCTCCATGCCTCAAGATACCAGTGCTTGAGGCCTGACGTGCATGAAAGGACTGTCGGCGATAATCATTGCTATACAAGTTTGCGTATAAAGCCGTGGGTTGATCATCTGACTCATACACTACCTATGTCAACAAATGGGCTTCAGTCGAATAATATCCAGACTTCTAATAAAAACGATCTAGGTTTGTTCTGATGCTATGAGGGCATCATCACAAATGCCGAGAAGTTTGCCGGCCCACAAGAGACAAGCACGGGAATCCTCACTGAATTCTTCAGAGAAGGGCTGATCTAGGTATGAAAGGCATTGAACATATCTCGCCGGATCGCTCTGGTTTCGTAGATCCAGGTGCTTGACGCTTGTAACCAAGTTCCCCTCCCTTCCATGAACATGTCACTCAATGTCACAAACGCATGCATCGTGTGCCCACTGAATGACGACTCAACTCGCAAACGATAGCTGGCTTCGGCCCGAGGCCATCACTTCTTACTCATGGCCAAGAGCGAAGCCTTTCACGCCGCTTGCCTCATCATTGAAATAGCTGACATCTATAGCCGCCATCCGCAAGGCCGCATTCAAGCGTGGAGTTCTCGGCGTCATGTCGGCCGACCTCATGGCCCTCCCGGAAGGTGTCAATCCGCCTTGATTCGTGAGTGCAAATACTGCGCAGCAGTCTGCAGCAGTATTCTGGAAGTGGACCTTATTCCACATCGGTGCTGGCAAGTATGACGCGTTCATCGTTCATAGCAGCATCAAGACTCCCTTTACGACTCGAAAATCCAGGTTCCATCGTCGTTCGGCAGCATATTGAGTCTCGGCGAGGGATCTGCAGGAGCAGGTCGATAATGAGAGAGAGCCTGGACTCTCTGGGCGATGGCTTGGCCCCGTAGAGCTCAGTGCCAAGGCAGCCCAGTTAGCCTCAACGAGGTTGCCAATCCTAGCATAGGCTCTCTCTGCGTCTCAGGGGCTGGAGGATTCGACTTGTCTATGACGACCTCGTCATGTTGGAAGAAGAAATCTTCTCGTCACACGACTGCCTGCCTTCTTAGACTTGAGTTCTCCCGGTGTGGTTCCAGGGACTTGATTTTGGAATTTTCTCTTTTCTCTGTGCAAAAGCCCTATTTGTGCTCATAATCGCACGACTACAGCCAAAAGGGGGATTGACCGGGTAAAAGCCGTCGATTCGGGACATCTGTCCGTGAGGGAGAAATTATGAATGGGACACACAACCCTTTGCAGGTCACATGGCTGAAGCATTACAGAGGCGTCGGAGCCTAGCGGAGTTCTGACGTATGTCTGCATTTCCTGACACTCTGGGGTGCTTTGGTTTTTTTCCTGAAAGCCGACATTTGACAGCTGCCGTTCAAAGCGTCATGGCCCCCCCCCCTGCCGTGGTCACGAATTCCCGCCCCCAAGTCAATAGAATGCGTACCAACACACCACCACGGCACGTGTGGCTGCGACATTGAAATGGTCTCGCGGGTTCAGCAAAGGCCAGAACCACCCCCCTCAAAGTACCCCAGGGTGCCTTACCATGTGGGCGCCATTCTCCAGGCTAGTGAGGGAGGCCTGCCCACCATGTGTTGTCGATCGGCGAGGAAGCGCCGCCTCGGCACTCAGCATCGCCAGGTCCCGAGCCATCTGCGCCCCTCCCCAGAAAACCCCGCATTACCTTCCCCAAGATGGCGCGCTCTTCAAACGGCTGCCCCCTTCGCCGTGCATCTTTTCGACCTGGGGTTCGGCCCGTTGTCGGAAACTAAGCGCATGAAGAAAGGTTCCATGGACGTACTTCGGTCGTAGTGCAGGGCCCCCAAGAGGAGGAACCAAGGCGGCGAGCGGGAGACTGAGACAAGTCATCACTTGGTATCGATCAGTGAGGGTCGTGATCATCTTCGTGGATCATGCGCGTCACGACTACAAAAAGAACTGTACATCATCGTTCAGAATTGAAGTTGTAGGACGGCCAGGCTTCGACTCGCACATCAGGCAACACTCGAATCTCATCAGCGACAAGGCATCACCATCATCATGAGGATTTCCGCCTTGTTCGTCTCGGCGCTGCAGCTCGTGGCGAGCGTCCAGGCTGCCAGCACCGCAGAGTGGAAGACGCGCAGCATCTACTTCGTCTTGACGGACCGTATTGCTCGCAGCAGCACTGACACGGGCGGCAATGCATGTGGTAACCTCGGAAACTACTGTGGCGGCACGTTCCGTGGATTGCAGTCGAAACTCGACTACATCCAGGGCATGGGTTTCGATGCCATATGGATCACTCCCGTCGTTGCCAGTGAGTAGTCCTCGTTCATCGGGGCACCCAGAGCCAATGCTGACAAGACCTCAGACACCCCTGGAGGCTATCACGGCTACTGGGCCCAGGACCTGTACTCGATCAACTCCAACCTCGGCACTGCCGATGATTTGAAGAGTCTTGTCAATGCTGCACACGCAAAGGTTTGAAGGTGTTCCCCCCGCAACGCTTCCTTTACTTACGGTTCTGTAGAACATGTTCGTTATGGTCGACGTGGTCGCCAACCACATGGGCCAGGGATCTATCAGCAACTTGCGCCCGGAGCCGCTGAACCAGGCCAGCTCATACCATTCAGACTGCCAGATCAACTATAACAACCAAAACAGCGTCGAGAACTGCCGCATCGCTGGTCTCCCGGACATCAACACCAGCAACCCCGCTCTCCGCACCCTGCTCCAGAACTGGATCGGCTGGCTCGTTGAGGAGTTTGGCTTTGACGGTATCCGCATCGATACGGTCAAGCATGTTGAGAAGGACTTCTGGCCGCCCTTCACCTGGGCTTCAGGCGTCTACTCGCTCGGCGAAGTCTTCGACGGCAACCCAGACTACCTCGCCGGCTACAACAATCTCATGAGCGGCCTGCTGAACTACGGCGTCTACTATCCGATGAACCGATTCTACCAGCAGAAGAGTGCATCGCCTCAGGAGCTCGTTGACATGCAGAACCGACTCAGCAACATCGTCAGCGACCCCACAGCCTGGGCTACCTTCCTCGACAACCACGACAACCCGCGCTGGCTCAACCAGAAGAACGACCAGACACTACTGCAAAATGCCCTCGCCTATGTCATCCTGGCGCGTGGCGTGCCCATCGTGTACTATGGTACTGAGCAGGGCTACGGTGGCGGCAATGACCCTGCGAACCGCGAGGACCTTTGGAGGAGTGGCTTCAACACGAACTCTAATCTCTACCAGGCCATTGCCAAGCTCAACCGTGCGAAGAAGAACGCTGGTGGTCTGGCCGGTAACGACCAGGTCAACCTGCAGGTCTGGACCAACGCATACGCGTGGAGCCGCGCCGGAGGCGATCTCGTTGTGCTGACAACGAACTATGGATCAAGCCGCAACAGCGAATACTGCTTCAACACGCAGAGGCCGAACACGACATGGAATGATGTTTTTGGAACTGGTACCTACACCTCGAATGGATCAGGCCAAGTCTGCGTCCAGATTAGGAACGGTCTGCCCGTGGTGTTGGCTATCAGGCGCTGATGAGCAGGATTGTGCTCGCCTGAATGTAAATAGTGGGCGGTAAATAGGGCAGAGATGCCACGATTGTGCCCGATCGGAAGAACATATGAATGAATGAGAATGCATGTCACGGAATGAGACCCTGACCTCCAAAAATAGGAGGCTCGCGTGAACAAAAAGGATGGACAATGCGCGAATCGAACGCGCGACCTTCAGCAGATAGTATCTCACGATATCTCGTTTTGATGCTAAGCAGACGTTATACCACTAAACCAATCGCCCTTGTTTGATGACAAATCAGTTCATTTGCTCATTCATGTCGGCGGCATCGTAGTGGTGAGCTGGTTTGTTGTGGATCAAATTCTTCATTTAGGTTGGTCGGAGTGATTTAAGTTTGTGGGTTGAATCATGGGGCACGGCGCAGCCGAAGTTTATTAGCGAAGGCTCTCTGGGCAGGAATACTGTCTTGGGCCGTTCCAAATATCAGAATACCCTGCGATGTATGCGTTGTGCGTTACCCGGGTAAAAGGATGAAGAGGGAAAAGGCATTGACGGTTGGGGTGTTGTTGGTAGGAAACAGTACAAGTTGGGCAGCTGGTGAAGGAAGTGCTTGCTGCTAAGGGAATGAGACGCCCTTGTCACTCCCTCGTACTGCATCTCAGAAACGGCTCGAGGAATGCGCATGGCGGTGTGCGGCGAATGGGAGTCGAAATAGGTTAGGGAACAGAGAATGAGGGTGTAAGAAGCCTTGGGTATATGAGAGATAATATGAACAAGACTCGTCGCGAGAGATACGAGTTATATGTCGCGGTCAGCATGACCATTCGCTGCCCTATATGCCGACTACTTCACGAGGTTGCGAATGCTTCGGCCGCGAACAAGAGAATTTCGTCGTTGAAGCGAGCCGGCTCTTCATAAAAAAGCCAGTGCCCAGAGTCAAAGACAGATGCCTTAGCCAAGTTGGGTCTCCTCGCGTTAGCCCGCCGGACCGTCTCCATCATACCCTCAAGCGGGAAGCACCCGGTGCGCTTTCCCATCATGACCAGCGTCGGCTTCGTGATAAGCTCAATGGCCTCACGGTGGTCATACCGCGTGTGATCTGCAAGCAGCCTCGCTAGCCAGACAGGGTCGCACTGTGCGCTGGTTTGGGTGAAGAAATCCATGTCTAATTTCCGCATTTCGGGACTGATCTGATCCTCAAGGGCAGGAGCGTGGAGATAGCCGAGGCAGCCTTCCGCAAGACCTTTGTGAGCGGCATCCGTGTCCTCAATCCAGGACTTCTGGGCTTGCAGCATAGATGCTTCGTCGAAGCAGCCAAGGTGGGCTCTGGACTCATCCCACGCACCAAACGCCGACCTATCCTGCAGCGGGGCCTGGTCAACAAATACGTAGCCAGCGAAGTCCTCAGGCCCGAAGAGCTCGACATAGGTCCAGAGCACGGCAGCGCCGATGGAGCACCCGACGGGCAAGAAGCGAACCCCAGGGGCAGCTTTTTTCAGATGAGCCAGAAGCTCTCGGAGATCAACGGCAAGACGGGCGACATGGTAGCCACCAGTGGTGCGACCTGAACGGCCGTGGCCTCGCATGTCGGGCGCGATGATCCAGTTGTTCTCGCAGAGAGAGGCGAAATTGCGAACAAAGTATTCGCTTGAGCCGCTGAAGCCGTGCATCAAGACGATGGCGGCATCTTGATCTTGTGCTTCTAGGAGAGGCACGCTCGTCTGGAAGCTAAGGCGGCAGCCGTCATTGGCGGTAACAGTGTCGTATTCCATCGTCTAGTGGTAGTAGTTTTGCGGTCTCTCGACAGAGCTTTGGCGATTGACGTCGACGGACGCGAGGTTGTGTAGGGACGCAGACGCGTTCTAAGCGGCGTGATGCCGCGGGGTATTGTTCTGATACGTGCATTAAGCTGGTGCCACAGGTTGGATTCTCGCATATTGGTGAACTCGTGGCCAGGAGATCATGAATCTCTGACGTCATTAATGAGAAGAGAGCCCAAATACCTGTGTGGAATGCCATCTCATCTACCTTAGATATGATGTGCTCGACACGCATTGAGGATGTTCCAAGAAAGGTTATGCCAAGGTTGTAGATCAATGCTTGGTTTGAACAAGCTCATGTCCACGACTCTCTAGCATGGTTCGTTGCCGATTAGAACAGCATCTGAAGACCTGCCGACGGTGCTGAGCGACGAGTGCGGGGTTAATTGGGGGAGTTGGAAGGTGCTCTGGACATGGCAGCGACGTCCCGCCGACACAACCTGCGCACCCGCACCCTAGACTTCACTTCCTTCATAAGTCATTGCTGCTGTTCATTCTGGTACCGATGGTTTATTTCAGTTAAACTTCCGAGGAAGAGCGCAGGGGGCCAAAGGGATTGACCGTCTCTTGAGGAAACGAAAAAATGACGCGCGGCTTTCGGTATTCAAGGGAGAATGTCCAAGGTCGCAAAAGGGGGCGCTTCGATAAGCAGCTTTGGGTGACGGGAGGCAAGGACACTATAGGCAGGGCCAACACCTATGGCTAGTTCGATGGACAGGGCAGCAATGATAGGGATGGCTAGTGGGTCGGTGCTGTACTTATGGGGGGCTCCAGGTGGTATGCTCCCTGAGAATCATAGAGGGCAGGTGCATTTAGGCAGAAGTTTAGATGGCTTCTGTAAACGAGGTTCCTCGACTAAAGCCAATTTGAGCGGCGGATGGAACTCTGAAGTACCTCAGGTAGCTTTAGCCAGTCGCTCCCATTTTCTTCCAATACGTCTGAACTTGGTGCGGTTGACACAAATGGAAGGGAAAACCTCGAAGCCATCTATTGTTGGGTCACAGCGTCAGCGTCTTGGCATATCTCGGTCAGAATCACTGCCATGCATCGCTTGCCGATGAGTTTCTTGATGGCGGCTTCGGCCGCCGCTTCAGTCCTCCGATTCTCTCCTTCCATCCTTCCCAGTCTTCCCCATGACCCTCTACCAGCGGTTCGCGTGCCAACAAAGGCCTACTGGGTGGAAAAGGCGGCCCTCGAAGGCCGCCAAGTCTGTCATATCAAGCCAGATCCTCATGGCGGTGACGACGCCCCTGCCATTCTCGAGGCGTTCAACCACAAATGCCGATACAAGAGCATCATTATCCTGCCAGGTCCTCTGTATCACATCAACACGCCGATGAACACTACCAGCCTGGAGGACGTTTTTATCGAGCAGTATGGACGTCTCCTATGGTCCAACGACGTCGACTACTGGCTCTCCGCATCGATGCCCATCAACTTTCAGAATCAGAGCACAGTCTGGAATTTCGGTGGTGACCGTGTTGTCTGGCAGGGTCATGGCTCCGGCACCATGGACGGCAACGGCCAGGTCTGGTATGACTGGGCGCGAGGCCGCGGCAACCTCGCGCACCGTCCGATGAACATCAACATCAAGGGACTTCGCGACTCGGTGCTCAAGGGCCTGCGCTTCGTGCAGTCCCAGATGTGGACAATGACAATCCAGCACTCCTCGCACGTGCTGCTCGAAGATATCTATGTCAACAGCACGTCGCGTTCTGAGTACAACACACTCAACACAGACGGCGCTGACACGATGTACTCGGATCACATCACGTTTCGGCGTTGGCGTGTTGCCAATGGCGATGACGCCATTGCCCTCAAGGCCAACTCGACCAATATCTCTGTGTACGACTCCGAGTTCTGGCACAGCACGGGCATCGCCGTGGGCTCCGTGGGCCAGTTCGTCGGTCAGCACGAGCACATTGAGAACTTTCATGTCCGCAACGTCACCATGCACAACGTCAGCCGGGCGTGTCACTTTAAGACGTGGACAGGGCGGCAGCTCGGGTACCCGCCCAACGGCGGCGGAGGCGGGACGGGCCACGCGCGAAACATCGTGTTCGAGGACATCACGCTCGACGGGACGCGTGCGACACCGCTGCACATATGGCAGTGCGAGTCGTACAACGGACACGCCGGCCAGGAGTGCGACACTTCCCGGTTCAAGATCTCAGATGTCCTCTGGCGGCGGTTCAAGGGAACGACAGGCGCGGGAGTTGATAGAGCAGGGTGGTTCAGGTGCAGCGCCGGAGCGGGCGGCTGTAGCAACGTGACGATTGAAGATTGGGATGTTCGGACTGCGGGCAGAAACAGCCTTCTGAACAAGTGGTACTGCGAGAACGTCAGCGACAATGTTGGGTTTCGTTGCGAGGGTGGGGGAGAGAAAGGTCCCAGTGCGAGGGTGCCTTTTGAAGACAAGGAATGGACCCAGGCGGAACTTTAGAGGCCGCGTCGTTGTGTGCTGGGCCTTCCATGATCGAGATAGACGAAGACCAGGCACGTGCGCTGTGCTGGGCAGCGTGGGCGCTTCGGTTTGCAGAGCTTGATGACAAGTAATGTGATGAGGAGGTTTTGCAAATACGTAGTTCGCCAGGCTGTGGAACGAAGTCATGATCTCCCTTGACCAGAGCCCGACTGTGGTTTCTATTGTCTTGGTGTTATGGGGCCGTGGCGGCCCAGGCGTAGTGGCATGATGCCCTTTGCCGCTTACTCACTGCCGTTTCGTACCTGGATCCAGGTACCTGCCCGACAGGTTAAATCGATTTATCGCTTCCGCAAACTCCCATGCCAGTCGTCGCCTCGTTCGCGACTGTCGGGCCTTTGAGGCTCCCGGTCCTCAGACGAAGCATAACTTCAAATGCGCCGCGGGACCGAGAACCTAAACCAAGAGCGAGTCACCTCTAATGATCCCCCGCCGGTACCGCCCCAGAACAACAACCCGCCGGATCCGCGGAACTGCAGCTGAAATGGCGAACCCTCGTACGACGCACGCGCCCGTCCAATGGGCTCGGCCTGCAATCAGGATTGCTCGGCCGTCAGCACAAGCCCGCAGCAAAGAGGCACGATGATCATGTCGGGATCAGCAGAGAAGCATTGTGCCGGCCGGTATCTTCGGTGATGAGAACGTAACCCTCCGACAAGCATGGATTAGGCGCCTTGGCGTCGATTATCCTCCTGACACGAACCCATCTGTCGTTGAAGCATACATTACAACATGTTCGTTGGCGATCTTGGCACATCGATGAGAAGGAAAGCTCCGAACGGCTGGGATACGCGGGACGCCCGGTGCGCTACCGGGCACCATCACCTGATTATTGATGGGAGAGAATATGGGAAGCCGCTGGCTGTCTCAGTGGAAAGACAAGTAACGGTCGACTCAAGGAGGAAGGCGTCCACGTGTGGAACGGCAAGGGGCTGAGCTCTTCCAGCGTATTTAGTGGAGGGTTGTGCTCCGTGGCGATTGGCTTTCGGCAGTAGCCTTGGAGGGGGTTGCGGTGTGGAGAAGGACCCACGGCCAACTGCCCTGGTCGCTGCCATTTCCTATCGCGTGTCATGGTGTTTGCACTTTCATGGTTTACTCTCCGGACTCTCTTCCAACAATCTGATGCCCGAAGAGAGGCGCCTCCTACCTATTCATGGGATCGAGGATCAGCAGACGCGGTTCTCGGTAGCTATTCGCGTAAGAGAGCTGTTCCACCGCGCCTTCTCGGCCTCTCGGCTCATTCCACGACGTTGCTTCCAGTACTAGATTAAGAGGGTGGGTGGATGAACCCTCGCTGATCGCAGGCCATGCTTTCCTTATGACTACGCCGCTCCATGATCGCCAGCCTCACCTCATCACATCTTACCTAGGGCCGTCCCCTCACCTCAGCTGGGAGACTTCCAATGCAATTCGCAACGCGGGCCAATGGTGGATGTGCAGTGAAGATTCAGAGAGAGTGACCACCTGCACATGATGGTAACACAGCATCCACCGTCAGATTGGGCCGACCAAGTTAAGTACAAGCCGAGCATCACTCGAATCAAGCTGCCAAGCCATTCGTAGGCTTTGCATCAAGCCCCCGGCCACCAGGCTGTGCCTGTGCTTTTCTGTTGGCCGAGGGCTCTGCCTGCCATCCTAATTCTTCGTCCCGATCCGTCTCCAGTGTTCCACTTCCTCTTCTTTGCCCTTTTCACTGCTATCTTATTTAACGTCTGGCCGCCCAGACACCGCCAAGCCTATCTCGCCGTTTGATTCCATGGCATTGTCTTGGTTGTTCGTTGCTTCTCGCCCTCCTTCCCGACGAAAGTTCCCTCTTCCGGGTCCTCTGGTTTCTTGTTTTGCTTGAAGAGCTATCCAGCACTCCTTGTCTTCTGTGTACCATTGGAGGCTGCGTCTCTTTCGCTCATTCTCTCTCCTGCCCCTGTCTTGCCTGGCGGCGGATGCCATTAGGTCTTTGACGACAGGCGGCCACCGCATCGGTACCTGACTCCAGTCTGGACCTCGCACCACTCCACGCTTGGCCATGTCCTCCCCCACGAGCGGTATGAAGAACGCCGCCGAACCTGGCTGTCAGCATCCCCCACCCTCCTTTCTCTGCCAGGCCAAGCTAATAGTTGCCCGTCTAGTCATCATCGCTGCTTTTACTGTTGGCGCTCTGGTCAACCGACGTCGAGCCAGACGCGGCGATGAGGAGAAGCGGCTCACCTCTGCCGAGCAATCTCCACCTCTCGAACCCTCCAGTCCAGAATTGGATGATGCCGAATACCTCGAACAGCGATGTCACACACAAGAGCTTAACCTCTTCTCCCGCTTCCTTCGCGCCTTTCCGTTTCTCGTCGAGATCTGGTACTGGAACTTGACGTATTGGTAAGGATCTGCCGAGACCCGAATACACATTATGCTATCCACTAACGCCTTACATCTAGGATCTACCAACTGATGCGTGCCTTTTCTGCGAGAATGATAGCGGGCAATAAGGGCGTCTTCATGCGTGCACAATACCACGCCCTCTCTATTCTCTCCTTCGAGCAGACTCTCGGCATCGCCATTGAGCAACCGCTACAGGCATATATCCTCAAGAACCACCCCAACATCATGGCCGTCTTTGCTCGCATCTACTACTCCCACATATGTCTTGGTATCGTTTTCCTCATATATACTTACACCTACCTCACACCTTCTATCTTTCAGCGTATTCGCCGCACCATCGCGCTCAACAACTACATAGCATTCGTCATCTTGACAACCTGGCGCTGCATGCCTCCACGTCTGCTCCCAGAGGAGTACGGGTTCATTGACGTGCTTCATGGTGGTTCTCATGGCGGTTCTGCGTGGACTTCGAACCGCTTCCAACTTACCATCGCCGCCATGCCATCACTTCACTTTGGCACTTCCCTGTTTCTCGCCGTCACTCTGGTGCGATTCTCACCGCACAGGCCTCTACGTGTACTAGCCCCTTTCTGGCCCATGGCCATGCTGCTAACCATCGTCTCGACCGCCAATCACTTTCTCCTCGATGCCGCCGTCGGTGCCTGTGTGCCCCTCGTAGGCTGGCGCTACAACCGGGCCATGCTTCGGTTGAAACCCATACAGGACTGCGTGCTTCGTTGCTTGAATATCGAATACCCAGATGACCCCTATGGTCGTGAAATCGGTCAGCCGCGAAAGGGGATCTTGACACCAAGCCGCGGACCCGGTCGCTTCGTGGATTAGAGGGAATAGCCTACGCTTTTGATTTCTCAGTCAGATTACGGGTGTTTGAATTGTATGTTACTTTGATCACTGCCACGGTCTCTGACCGTTGAACGTCTCGTCCAAATGCTCCATTATTTTGTGCCTTGTTACCGCATCTTGCAGAAGGCGATGGAACTGTCTATCGGAGACTGTCAATGCGACGGTCAGAAGGGATGTGTGGAAAGCACTAGGTCAAGAGAGCAAGCGATGCGGATGGAGATAGACGGTCCTTTGGTGCACTTGCCTCGACAAAGATCCCCAGAGGGCAGACATGGATCCGATTTTGCCACAGTGCCGAGGTGCCACGAACTCCCTCTTGCTGTCACTTGTGTGGCTATGAACTTTGCAAGGATTACGTCTTGGCTTTGCCATGGATGTCTAGTGATCGATCTCTTGGACCATATCAAGGCTCTTGGTGATGCTTTGTGGCCACCATTCAGGTCGCTGTGGATTGTAGAAAATCGGCAGGTGCTTTACAGTACCGCACCTGCTCAGTCTTTACACTTGTTCGCTATTATTTGATGAGGACAAGAGGTGACCAAGAACTGAGGCTCAGAACATTAGCGGAATAGTCACAAGCATCAGCCCGGGACCTGTGGCCACGAAACCATATCTTGCAATCGTCACTCACAATAATACCGAGCATTCCAGGGCGCTGATGCAGCATTAAGCCCAAATCCATTGAGACACATTGTATTCCTTTCAAGGTGTTTGTCTACATCATGTTCTATTAGTGCGTCCGCCTGTTTACGATCGCGAGGTCACCGCGCTCAGGGCCGCTTTTCTGGCTTGCAAGCAACGCATCGTCGCCGAGGCTCGCGCGCATGCCCGCGGCGGATGTTTCATCAAGTTCTACCGTAACTTCCATATAATCACGAGGAGAATTCTTTAAGCCCTTCTCAGACCACAGACTGCAAGTTTCTTTTAACGCAGCACACGTCAGTCACTTTGACTCTCTGAACTTGTCCACCATTCACCCGGCTCTCTGTGAGCACGTGAGAGATATCGGAATCATGGATTCTTATTCACTTTCTCCGGAGCCTGGGCACGGGCCCCTTGATCTTGAGGAAACAACCAAGAGAATCGACATTGGCATACGACCTCTCCCTGCTCCTACCAAGGTGGAAAATAGTGACGACGCAGCAACTGGCTGTGGCCTTCAGAATGCTTGAAAGATTCGCAGGTGGTAGTATCTTCATGACTGATCTTTCTTCTCTTTAGTATCATTACTGACGGTCCACTCCGCCAGCTGAGTCTGCAGCGTGAAGGGAGTCAAGATGAGGGTTGGCAAGCACAAATTCCACCCCGAGCTCTACGCCCTTCTTGCCGAGATCAAGATGGCACAAGGACAGGTGGAGATGGCTTACAAGTATGCCGAAAAAGCTCTGGAAGGCTGGCATGCAGCGCGCCATCCCGATAACATCACGACCCTTTCGTACCTTCGAAACTTGCTGGCTTCCCGCCACCTCACGAATCTTGACTTGGTGGCAGCTCGTCCCTACTTGGATGTCATTAGTCCCCAGACAGTCGCGGGTATGTCCAAGAACGATGTCACAGAGCACGATGTTTACAAATTGCTCCAACTTTGCCTCGAGCACGAACCTTCCCGAAACGCTCTGAAAAACAAGATCAAGAGCCGTATTCCCCTTTGCAAACCTGCCTAGTAAGCAAACTTTTGGGGTCAGGAGGTGGTTTGATGAATCTTATCGGACTGACCTTTCTCCAGCACCTGGCAGACTCCCTATGACCCCAATCACACTGAGCCAGCAAGACCCTTGGTTGACGCGAAACTCCTATCAGGCGACGGACCGTTTAACCTGTTCCTCGCCGGTCCAGGAGACGGGCGTCACCTTTTCGCAACTGTCATCGAGGCAGCCAAGCTAGCTTCTCAGAGGAAGATTGAGAACGTGGAGGCGGTGCCTCAACAACTTCACTTGACCATCTGTGATCACCACCCAGCAGCGATTGGCCGCCTTCTCGTGATGCTCCAGATGATGGAGACAGAGAGCCGCAAATTTGACGAACAAGACCGCGAGGTCTATTCCGCCTCGCTGGCTTTTGTCTTCAGCTCTCCCATCATCCCGCACCGCGCAGCAGAGGCAGTTCGTGCTGCAGCCAGTCTCGTCAACTACGCTCTACACAATTGGAACAACCCCAAAGCTAACTTGTTTCACGACTACATTCAAATGTCCAAGTCAACTCGTGAGCAGGTTGCATCCTTCGTCACCAAATGGTGGGAGCCATGCGACCAAGGATATTCACTTCAGATTGTGAACGACACTATCCTCAAGTCGAACTATATGAACCAACTTCAGCAGACGGATCCGAGAAAGTGGCTTGCTATGTTTCCCAATGCCTCGCTCAGTACCCAGGCTGAGACCGAGATCTCCAACCATGTTGGTATCCTTGGCCTCCCAAAATGCTTCGTCCACCTCGACTCAGACGATGAGGAATCTGATGACGAGGACGATTGGCCGACATTTGGTGGTGGAGACCCTCGCATCACAGACGAGCAGCTCTACAAGATGATTCAACAGTATCATGCACTGTGCAAGACCACCACCGGAAACGCCAGCGCTCGGGATCAACAGAGGAAAGATCTCGTCGATCTCATGAGAACCCACATAACTCTTTCGTGGAAGGTCAACGCTACCATGCTCGCAGAAGACGTGGATGTATTCAAAGGTAACGGCCGGAGGCACAAAATTTTTGCTGTGCCCAAGTTTGCGGGCTGCTACGGTGTAGCCGTTCTCCTGTCCGTAATGGGACTTGTACCCAAGGTCGACCTTGAGAATCCAACAAATGCTCTGAATGCACTCCAGGTCTTCTTCCGGAGCTTTTGGGACTCTTTCAAACAGATCAGGGGCTCTCTCAAGCTGAACTTCGTACTTGGCGATGCCATCGACGTGTTGGAGCAGCTACGTTTGGGCTTGCCCAAGGGCGAATATGAAAGCGACAACTCTGGTTTTCAAGGCATTGCAAGCCAGGCCCTTTGCAAGTTTGACAGGGTTGACATGTCTAGTGTAGCGTAAGTAAGACCTTGGAATTTCAGGTTGATAGAGCTGACCCAACGCAGCGATGCCTCTGGCGGCCTCATGGCCATTTTCCTGACGGTTCCGCATGTCTTAAAATCCAGCGATAATGGCTTCCAGATCATGTTTACCGCTTGGGAGGGCACTCTGGAATACCGCAGTCATGTCGACTACCTGAACGAGTTTCTCGGGCTTCAGAGGCGTGAGCTAATCCCCGCCATATATGGTCTGACTCTTGACGAGGTCACCCAGAAATTGGTGGACGAAGCCCCGCGTTCGGACCAAGCAAGGCCCTTGCACATGGGCACGCCAATGGGATGGAACAAAATCGAGCTGAAGACACCGCTCACGGTGGCATCCGGTAAACGAAACCTGATTGCCATGATGCTCGACCAGCATCTGCTCACCCTGTGTCTTTCGCCTCATCCACGCAGCACCCTGAACCGCGACAAACGCTGTCATCGAACCCACTCGCTAAATCTGTCGTCGTACTTTCGTCTCGTGGCCCAACTCAGCGATCGTGGATTGGACCCCCACCTGTTGTTTCAACAGGTTGCCCGAATCCTCACCCCAGACTTCGAAACGAAGGCTCGCTTCCCCACCGAGATTTGGTCGTTCAATGAACCTGATTACATGAGCGGCGAGCACATGGATCGCGAATTTACGCGCATCAACCTTCGTCCCTGGCACGCCGAGCTCAGCACCCTGGCCGTCATCTGGCAGCGCCTCCTCAACTTCAGCATCGTCACCAGCAAGCTCACCCTGCAAGACGTTAGCCGCTTTGAGCTGCTGCTTGATTCAGACAGAGACATTGAGATTCCGAACCCCGAAGCGCCAGAGTTTGTCATCGTCTTCGTCAAAGAACATGATCTGTACCTCTTCGACGGGTCGGGTCTCGCGATGGCACTGGCCCGCGGCGAATCGCCTGACGACTTTGAGTTTGCAGAATTTCTTCGAAACAACAGCCACGTCGTCACTACGTGGAAGTGGGACGGCGAAAAACAAGTAGCGTCGTTCTGGCTGCGCAGCGACGTTGTCGACGACATGCTGGAATCGTCGCATCTGTGGAACGCCTTTCCTCTATCGCTCTGATGATTGGAACATGTGTGTGGACGGCCCGTTTGACATGACATGCAACATCCTGCGGAAATGCGAGCCATGGCTTCAGGGTGAATGGAAAGAGCCTGGCGATAACGTGGACGACTTCCTCCAGAGATGGGTTGACGACAGAGATGGCGATCTCGAGACCGAACAACCCGTGGATAAGGGCAAGTCTTCGAGCAGCAACATTGCTAACGAAGTAGGGTGACAGAATCGCCTTTGCAGCTGACGACAGTGCTTACCAAAAGAGCTCTGTCACCATGGAGGGGTATTGTGTAACGAATGTGTGAGTTATGGTATGGAAGGATTGACAATGACGAGGCACTGGAAAGAGCTTCGATCAAGCAGCTTGAAAGCGACGAGAAGCCCGGGATGATCAACTGGAGAAACGCCGAATTCACGAAGACAGTCACCGAATGTGTTACGTAGAGAGATGAGCAGGAGTCATCTACATAGAACAGAGGTCCATGGAAGAAAGAAGCAAAGACGCGCTGTTCCTTCGCCTGGATGAGATGAAGGTAGTTGTAGCTTCGTTTGCGCTTCACCTCAGACGTAGATGTAGCAGAACGGTCCGTTCATCGTGTCAAGCAAGTCTCCTAGCCTGTATTCCTTCCCGTTGACATTGAGATCAACTGGATCATCCAACGTCCCGTTCTTGACCCCAGACCCATCGCTTGGAAACGTCAACCCGGCAACGGCATCCAGTCTCGCGTCCAAGTTCCGCAGCTGCCAAATCCACCAGACGCGATCGATCATGGCATGATGCAGGTAAAAAGACGGGTCTCCTGGCGAGATGTAAAAGTCCTGTACAATCATCAGCCCCGCCTTTGGAAGACCACTTGCGCAAGAAACTCACTCCGCCCGGATCACCCCCGATCATGAAGTGGCCCCCTCCGTGTACGCCAATGTTCAGGCTGTTGAAGTCGCCCTGCATCACAGTCTGGAACGAGTAGATGTCTGTCTCCTTTGTGATGAGGTCGTACGTGTACTGCTCGTTGGAAAAGTTGGCTGCGACCCGGTTGATGTCGCGTCGGAGGCAGCGCGGGTTGTAGCCCAAGCCGTCGGGGCGAGGGTTTGCGGGGAGGTCGGGGAGAAAAGGAACCAAGGGCCCAAGATTGACCTTGAAACTGCTCTGGAGGTTAGCGACGTAAGTTGCGGAGGCTGTCGAATAAGTCAGGCAGGAGGGACGACTGACTCCTTGAATGGGCCTTCCATGATGCAACCGCCGCCGTCACCAGGCGGTATGTTGTATCCCGCCCATGGATAGCCTGCATGCGGGACCTTTGATCCGTCGCTGGACATGCTGGCGTCGCTGCCGTCGAAAAGGGGGGAGTCGTGGGGGTTGGAGGCGTAGTACGGCCAATGCTCGTACTGGCGGGAATGAGCAATTATGGAGCGTGTGTGAAAAGGGGAAGAAGACTGTACCGGTTGATAGCCACGATATCCGCACTCTTCTCGCAACGCTTTTTCATACGCCCAAACGAAGTATCGATGCCAAGAGAGAAAGTTCGCCTGGAAGATGTCAGAATGGTCTAAATCGAAATCTTGTTGTGTCTTGCCGTTCCGTGGATTGACATTGTCTGCTGGACATGCGTCACGACAAAGTCATCAAAGCGACTTCGAGCCCCGGGAGCTTCGCTCCTTGGGTACTTTGAGGGTTTGCTATGCAAACACTTGACAGCCTTGATGTACAATCGCCTTTCGCCACGAGTGAGGGACGACCTTCGAATAGTGTTAGCTTTATCATAGACAACTTGCGACGAGTGCACCGTACCACTCCTTGCGCTTGATGGCTTTTTTTATAGTGCAACCGGACTCGGGGGGATTCGCGGCGATGTATGCCTTCAACCTCTTCATACCGGAATCCTGCAGTCTATCCACACTGTCCCGTGGATATCGTCCCGCGGATGCTTGGGCTGCCAGCATGGCGGTCACCACGAGTCGCACAACAACAGACAGCAACATTCTGAGGACCTGCAACTTGGAAGAATGATACCTACATGGATGGAAATCGAGTATTGCGCAGATTGGGATCGAGGGACACTGCTCTTATAACAAGGGGTATCATCGACATCGGCGCGCCACTCCTCTATCTGTACCATCAAAGGCGACAAAGTGGCCCTCATCCGCATAAAGATGCATGGAGATGTTGCATTGGTATGGCATGCCATGTTGCACCGCATCTTGCCACCTTCAGCCGCGACACTTCACGAGTAAGACCGCGATTCCGATAGGCTAGGCACAGAAGATAAGGTGATGACATTAGAAAGGCTGCACCCCCTGGTGCCTGCGATCCTTGTAGCGGATGAGCCGCTGTTCGCGGCTACAGTGAAGCACTTGATTTTAGAAGACCTGGCAACAGATTAAAGGACGCATCGCTTTCGCGAATATGCAACACGGTCGGCATTCCACTTAGCCTAATGTCTGGAGGATGGCGAGCAGGTGGCGGAGCTCCGCCGATATCGCCTTGCTTATGACCAGCTGCAGTATCATGTGAAATGCTAACCAGTCATCGGACTGCCACTGAAACGGCTCCAACAGACCTCTTCCGCATAGACATGCTAGTAGACTGTTATATTGCGCTTCACACACGTGACTGTCTACGGATTTGTTCGACCATGACAGAGCTAGGGATGAGTAATTAAATATGTTTGAAAATCCATTGAAATTCTAGAGTGTCCCAGTGCGTTGCACAAGATGAACAACGAAGCCTCGCGTTATTAGGTGTCAGTGAACTATTGCGGTACAAACAGCCATAGACTCATGGGATTGGACCCTCCAGATGCCTCGCAGCCGTCGCTGACTGTATCACGAAAGACATGCCACAAGACGAGATGAAATCCATCTGTGAGAAACATGCAAGAAAAATATACAGCAGAACGCGGCACGTGCCTCACGTGCGCCTCTCGGCCGATACGCAGAGACGTCGCGGCGACACAGTAACCGCCAGTCATCCCCCTGGCAGGTCAGAGAGGTGTCGAGTTTGAAGAAACCCTGAGTGATTGGCAGCAAGCTCGTCCAAAAGAATGTCCCATGTCAGACAGGAACGCATGCATGGGAGCTTGTGTGGATCGACCGGAGAACCGAGCAGGCAACCTAGTGACCAGACTGTCGGGAACGTGCACATCGTGGGCATCGTGCGGCATGCGCAGTAGAGCGGGGGTCTCGGGTCTCGGGTCTCGGGTTCGAGAGCTTTCTTTTACTAGAGGCGAGGGGTGCCTGATCTCGCGGGCGTGTTTTCCTTCGTTCTACAGTGTTGCAGAGGAAATGGCACCGATGACAGCATCATGGACAGGATGGTGCGCTTCAGGAGACGAAAGCAATGAGCAGCGAGATACGCAGGGCCTGAGGTTCTTGTCAGCCAAGTCCGTCATCCGAGCTCATGTGCCATCCGGTCATCAAAGAAAGAAAGTGTTTCGCCATCGAGACGAAGCCTGTGATCCGAAGGCCCTAGATCTGGAGGTCGGACCTATCTTCCGTTGCGAGTGAGCACAATATGGCGTCCCGGCCTAATCTTCGATTCGAAACGCACCTAGAAGCCACCAATCCACATCACTCAAAGAAAATGCGCCGAGTCGTGCAAACGGCCGCCAAAGAGCGCTCTTGATCGCAGCTTGTCAGGGCTTCACAGTAGAGGTCTACTGAGGGGCATGTCGTTGTCGCGAGGAACGAAGGGTCGTGACCCCACATTGGGGATAGCGCTGCGGGAGTTTGAGCAAGATTCCAGCGCCAATGACGCTAACGGCGCCAGGGTCTCTGCCGCCCCTGGCCCGGACGTTCTTGCTTGGAGCGATGGCATTGGCGCCTCGTCCAGTTGGATGCATGTTTAGCGGGTCGTCGCACGGGGCCACAAGAGGCTCCTGCCCCTCAGCATTCGACCGCGCTCTGTTCGCCTTGGGGAGCTTCGAACACCAGCTCACTGCAGTGCAGAAAGTCCGGTCGGTCTACCAAGGACCTCGACGTCCCGCCAAGGGCCCATCGGGGCTCCAGGGATACAAGCTAATCACCCTCCTGCGTGGGTAAACTTGCTCACCTGGCGTTCTTGGGCAGCTCTTGCCATTGGACGATGGCATGGCTCTGGGGGGGGGAAAGACCAACCACCAACCTCGTGGCCCCTGCCCGACGGCGTGGTGCGAGGCACGATATGCGCGGGGGATCGCCTCAATTGGCAGGAACCGGAGGCCGAGCGAGGCAAGAACGCGCAAGGCTAGACACGCCTACTGCGGGGGTGAGGCCTGCCCGTTACTTTGCTCGACTGATGCCATGCACAGTCAGAGCTGGTAAGCAAACGATGTGATACCGCTTGCGGGGTGAGAGGATGAGAGGGTGAGACCACCAAATCACTCGGCCTATTTATATAAGGTATGAGGAATGCCCACATCGAGAGAACCTTGATAGCTAGACTTTTGCGCTTCCTCACCTCACCTTTACCCATCCATTTCTTCTTCTCTCCGCTGTGATCACCGCACACGTCTCTCCCCATTGACTCTCCGCCTCATTCTCGTCAGAGCACCCCGAATCCACAATGGTCGCCAAGTCGTTCCTCACCCTCGCCTCCGCCGGCCTCGCCGCCGCCCACTACAGCATCCTCTACCCCGACTGGCGTGCCGACACGCTCGAGGACACCGAGGAGACTGGTTACAGCCAGTGGACGTGGCCTTGTATGTTCTCTCGCTGCGCCGTTCGACACGCTCGCAGCATGACTGACACTTTTTTCTTTTCCAGGTGGTGGTGTCGAGTACGGCAGCGGCAACAGGACCGACTGGCCCCTGACCAACGGCTCGATCGCCTTCCAGCTCGGCCACGCCTTCAACTACGCCTTCATCAACGTCGGCCTCGAGGACCCCACGACTGGCAACATCACCTCGTTCAACATTTCTCTGACGCCCCAGCTCACCAACACATCCGGACACGGCACCCTCTGCCTCGACAGCCTCACCCTGCCCACCGACCTCAACATTGAGGACGGCACCAACGCCTCGATCCAGACCATCATGGTCGGCCCCTCGGGCCAGGCCCCAGTACAACTGCGCCGATATTCGTCTGACCTCCCAGGCCTGCCCGGCCCCGCCGAGGGCGAGTGTGTCACCGAGGACGCCGAGGTCGTCGTCATCAAGGGCGAGGGGCAGCGGCTCGTCTGACGACCACGACGACCATGATGGCGGCGACGACGACAGCGCCAGCGAGACCTCCTCTGCTGCTGGCGCCGCCGCCACCACGGCCGCACCCAGCTCTGCCGCCCTCAACTCGGCGTACATGTCCACCGTCGTCGGTCTCGGCATGGCTGTCGTCTTTGGCCTGACCCTGTAAACGGTCTTCATCGGTCCGAGGTGCGACAGCACCATCGCCCAATGGACAGGCAGGGGCTCTGCGAGCGCGATAATGGATGGAAAGAGTTTGGAGAAACGTAGTAATGCATGGCGAAGACGGGGAGAGGAAGAATTGTACATGATCAAAGAGATAACGCGTGGTGATACCAGCCCGCCCTCAAGGCTGGGCGATGCATTTGAAGCATGAAAAAGAAATGAAACCTTGATGCCATCAAACCACACCTTTTTTATATGAGCGACCATGTTTATTTCCCATGTCTTCCACCGCCGCCCCCAATCGCACCGCGGGCTACGACGATATATATATCATGCCACCCCTATCAGTCAATCACCCATGCATGACCGTTCGCACTTCCCCCTCAAATGCCACCCGCTCAACCGTCATAGGAACCTTGGTATCTAAAAGCACGTCGCAAGAAACACTACCAAGAATGCATGCGCTATCAGAATGTAAAAAAAAAAAAGAAGGGTAAAAGAAAAGGCGAAATGAGAAGAGCTAGAAAGGGAGAAAGAGCCACTGCCTCGAAGCCAAGAAAAAAAAATCATGAGAGGAACATGCCCAAACAGAAAATGCCGAAACAATGCTACATACATCAATATCATCAAAATCAACCCATCACTTCGTCATCGTTAGCCAAGGCTACTGCCGCCACCAATCATCGCATCACGCCCGCGCCACGACAGCCTGCGGTTGCTGCTGCTGCGGCTGTTCCCTCTCGACAAACAATTCTCTCATGATACGCGCCGTTGTGATGCGCTGGTTGAGATTAGGGACGAGCATCTCTCTGACGATCCGCTCAAGTCTGTCGCGTGGGTTCAGCCGGTCAGCAGCCTCGCGCACCTCGCCGAGCCACGTCTTCATCTGCTCGACGGCGCCCTGGGCGCCGCGCCCGCGCCCCGGGGGCCGGTTGAGGTCGGCGATGACCCAGTACAGCCTCTTGGGATGCGCCTGGCGTCCGCGTCCGTCGGGGAAAGGCATGCGGCGGAGCACGTAGAGCATTGTGACGCCGAGAGCCCAGACGTCCGAAGCGGGACCGCGCTGCCGGGCCCCGATGAACTCCGGGGGTACGTAGAATGGGGTACCGCCATTCGTGGCGGGCCCGCCGGCCATTGTTGAGAGGCCAAAGTCGCAAAGGACAGCACCGCGGGCCGGAGAGTACAGGATGTTCGCGGGCTTAATGTCATTGTGGACGAGACGACGGCTGTGGAGGTAATGCAGAGCTGAGGCGACATCGCGCAGAATGCGTGTGGCATCGGTGCGGTCGCCGATGAAGTTGTCGCTGCGTGGACAACGCCACACGCCGCGGGCGGACAGGTCGCGCGCATCGACGTGTTCCATGTAGAGCGAAAGGAAACGGGCGTCGCGCCATAGAGGCGGACGATGGAGTCGTGGCGCAAGTCGTCTTGCGATTGGTATTCACGGAGCCACATGTCGGCTTGGCGGATGACGTTGCGCTCAGCCTCTTGTGGCTTCTGCTGGAGCGCAGCGGCGGAGTTATTGGGAAGGGTCTTGAGGACTTTGACGGTGACGATGCCATCGGGAACGTTGGAATGGGTGGCGGTATACACAGAGGAGAGGGACGTTGATGCGATCTGGCCGTGCTTGGTAACCGTATATGCGTCGATCTCGCAGCTTCCAGGGATCTCAACCATTTCGTCGTTGCCCACATCTAGAAGCGCATGACCATTGGCGGATACGAGCTCCTTGCCCTTGTTCGCAGAGGGTAACGGGAAGACGAGTGGCTCAGCGGCGGGACGGAGGAACATGATGACACCGTCATTCTTGTTAGGTGTTGCGTCGTCGGACAATTTCGCCTTTTTGTCATCTCTACCGTCGACGGCCTCATCAGCAGTGTCCTCCAACGACCTCTTTCCGGACGAGTTGAGAAAGCTCATGGACATGGCTTCTGGAAATTGCTGTTGCTGCTTGAGCATGGCGGGCACCTTTTCTAGCACCCTGAAATCGAGCACCGAGATATTGTCGACAATGATGCGCCATGTGCCTGGCGAAAGGGCCTTGGACATGTAGGGTTTGACTTCGAAACAAGGACCCGGACTACTAGCCGGGTCATCGGAGAGTCTTGTTAGGGATATTGGCACCTCGGATCGATTGAGGAGAATTTGATTATCGCTTGTTGGGTCGTAGTATAGCTCGCACCACACACCCGAGCGCTGCACGTCATCTTCACCCAGATGCTCGGAAGGGATGCGCACGGAGAACTTGATATCCCTCGCGGTCTGAGTCACGGCCAAGACCTTGTGATGGGGCTCGTCCTCGGACGCGACCTCTGCGCGCAGGGCCAGCCACTGACAGCTGCCGTTGCCGGGACTCACGGATCGCACTCCTGGTGAGAGGGCGCACAAGGATGCGGATGCCCTGCTTGTGGTGGTGCTCCTCGACCATCAGCTTGGTCAGCGGGACGGTATCGTACATGACATCGTAGTCGGGTTCCTCGACTCGAATGCTTTTCATGCGCGAATCAATCTCGGACTGGGAGAAGGGTTCTGTCCGCTCTTCCGACTCCTCTGAGACGGGGAACCGGTGGTCAGCCATGGCGGGCAATGTGTCCAAAGCCGCCGAGGCCGAGGCAGGCGGTCAGCCACCCGGCCGCTGGAAAGCGAACGAACGTGACTGACTATGAGTCGACGTTGTGATGGGTGTGAGGGCAGCGTGAATGGGGACGATGAGGGCCAGGATGGAGGAGGATGGCGATGGGGGTCGTGCTCCGAGACCAAGCTTTGAGGTGCTGCCTAGCGACGGGAAGCGCAAGGCTGCTCCCGCGCACAAAGCAGTGGCGAAGGTGGGTAAAGGAGGGAGAAGGTTTGGTAAGTTATGGGGCCCGATGGTGTCTCGAGACTAGGTTCGGCAAGGCTGCCTAGTTAAAATGGTCGTGTGTCTTGGTGACAGTCACCGTAGGAGGGGCCGTACCAGCAGTAACGAGTACGAGCGGGCGTGAACGGTCCAGGGTTGGTTGGGCGGAGAGAGGGAGAGAGCTTGTGTGAATGAAGAACAGGTTCAGGCAGACGCGGGGTCAACGGCGACAGTGGATTCGGGGAGTCATGAGAATGGGGGGAAACAACCCGGGGATGACTGTGGCTGCAATGACAAGGTACAAATGCAGGAACCGACGCTTTATGAATGGGATCAGTACATGAACCTGTGTCGAGGAGAGATGAGCCAGGGACTGACTGAAGGGAAGAGAAGGTGAGAGAAGCAGAAACAGGCCGTCAGATGGCCAGGACTTGGGACGACGATGAAGGGCCTGCTGATGGGGAATCCAGCCTCACGGGGATAGAGTCATCGAGGCCGCCAGTCGTCGCCTGAGGTAGGTGAGTTGCCTAGCTCTGGCTCACAGGACTGGGGCTTTTAGGTGAGGGCAAATGTGAGAGCAGCTGGGCGGTTATTTGTGTGGCCGATTCATTCGCCCAGTAATCAGTCCTTCATTCTCTGTAGACAGGCAGACATCGTCCCAAAGAGCTGACCGAGAATAGGCAGGTCAGGGCAAGTCGCCTAGAAGAAGAAGAAGAAGAAGACGTGTGAAGAAATCCTTCTGTGTGGCGAGGGCGGAACTGTGGGAGGCCTGGCTTCTGTCTATTGTTCTGGGGGTGGCCCTGAGCTGGTTCTTTTAGTGCACCAAGCGCTGAAGTTCAGGATGCTGCTGTGGCAGTGACGTGCCTCAGCCCCCTCAGCAAGTCCTCATCATGTAGCGTCTGGGGCTGGCAACCCAGTGGAGGTACTTTGCGCGACATGCTGTTCCTCTCGAAAGGTCTGTGGGTGCAGCAGTAGTGCCCGCCTATCCGCTCGTTTAGGAGGCGAGAGGCAAGGCAAGGCACCTTGCCCTACGAAGGGTGCCCGCAGCGTGCAGTCAGCCAGGTGTTCTGAGGAGCTTCGACGGGGTTCCTCGGTCAGCCGAAGAAGGGGGTTTCGTCATTGCTGTTAAAGTTGGGGGCCGCGAGGTTTGGGGGCCAAAGGCCATGGTCAGTTAGTCGTCAGTCGAAGGTCCCATGGTCAGGGGATGAGTGATCTTTTTGGCGTCGCGAAACGTTTTTAAGCAGTTCAGGAGGAAGGTGTGATTTCAGTACGGCACGTCGGGCGACACAAGAGAGAGACACTGAGCCCTCCCTCGTGACACGAGAGTCAGCTTGTTGCTGTTGCTGGCTGTCGCGCTGCCTGGCTGTCCTGTGTGTCTCAGCCTTCACGGAAGGTAGAAAGACAGCAGTGGCTCTTATCGGAGTTGTCGGACAGGCGCCCGACCAGGCTGCCTATCATGTTGTTGCCAGGCTGCCAGGGAAGTCGGGCACGAGGGCAGACAGCAACGAACATCATGGTGGGCGCCGGGTACGAGAGGGAAGAGGTGCCGGCCACAACGATGTCTTGCACTGTGCCAGTTGGTGGTGTGTGGCATTGGAAGTTATGAATGAGGCGTGTGTTGCAATGGAGGGTTGGGGGCCGTCTTACAGTCTTACAGTGTAGCGCGGCAAGTACGAAGGGGCGGTGGACAGGATGAGGGTAAAATGCAAGATGACCCCCGAACAGTCCATATGATTGGTGTAAGGCTGACGTGTGAGTGGGTGTGAAGCACTAGCGATCTGATGATTGGTTCCTGATAGTTCTTCCATAGCAGTAGCGCAGGTTTTCCTGCATTGGCCATTCCGGGCTCGGAGGACTTGGGAGTGACTACAGCAGCCTTAGGATTCAGGAAAGGTCTTAACAGATCTCAGGGAGCGTCCACGTTAAGGCGATAGTGCGAGCCCGACCCTGAAGTGATTCAGAAGTCCTGCTGCGCCCCCCAAACCAGAGGTGCATCAGGTGCATGCAGGTGGTCCACACTCCCCTGATTCATTGGCAGATATCCCGCTGATGTCAAATTCACTAGCACCGATCTGGCTCCGCACTAGCCAGATTTGGATCGGGCTCGCATCCGGCTTTCTCCAGTGGCCCCCATCAGCCCCATGAGTCCGTCTCGCTCATCGTTACACTTTTCGCACTCATTGTCGGGCCCAGCACGACCCCCCCGATCACCCTCGTCGCCTTTTCCCAACTCCTCCCTCGTCCCACCCCTGAGAACTGTCCACTGTCATCACCACAAGCCCATCAACAAACACGCAACGCTCGATCACTACTGCTCCAGAATACCGACACGATGGCTCCAACAAGTTCTAGTATGGTCTAAATGGCTTCCTCCAGGACAGGCCTCTATAACATACGATTACTACCATTACTCTGAACCCACACACAAAGCCCGTCCACCCCCTGGGCGGCACCCATCACAACAATCACACGCAATGGACGACCCAGGCTACGCCTGGCCCGCCTGGAAGTTTGGCATGAAGAGGGCTGACCTCTTCACCAAGCTGCATGACCAATACAACACCTTTCCTTCCTCCATTCAAGATCCTGAAGCCTTCCACCACGATGTTTTCGAGATCTCCAGCGACTCTCGCACCGAGGACGAGTTCCATCGCCGCATGGCCGAGCGACGCGTTCAACGTCTTCGTGAGCTCGACGACTCGCTCGAGCTGGCCGGTGTAGAGATTATTGCCAACCCGAAGCTCATCGGGACGGAGCAGTGGTCTTTCGCCGTCCAGCTCTTTCGGACGCGTTCGCTCGACTCGCTTGTACGATACTTTTCCAGTTACCTTCCCGAGGGCTATCTCGACCGACATGTCTTCCACGACACCGCGTCAACCGCCTCCTCTTTTTGATCAGTACAGCGTGGCAAGCACCAACCCAAGTAGTCTTCGACGATGATGCTGAGAGCGGTCCTTACTTCTTTCCTGACGATGACGAGAAAGCGTTTCATGACCCGCGAACCTTTCTGTATCAACACCATGGCCACAGACGCCGATCTTCCTCCTTCTCCTCGATCAATGACCACTCAAGATGACTCGTCCCCCTCATCTCCTACTGATCTGCACGATCATGACTTTACCCTGGCTCGTTTGACGCCTGCTCGGTCCCTGTCCTTTTCGGGTTCCGAATCGGACGCGTTTCGCCGTCACCTTGACGACGATCACGAAGAAGAAGAGACGTCACAGTCGGATGATCCAGACTCGCTCGCGACGTCGATTTCGGATCTCGTCGAGAGCCACCACGCCGACGAGCTTTACGAAGAAGAGAACTTTGAAGCCCAGTGCCCTACTGATATTTTCGATACCATCGTCGAGTCGATCGAGATGGAAACACCTACCCCCAAGCAAGAACCCCCTACACATCATCTACTCGACTCAACAGATAGCACCCTCGTCATATCTTCACACTATCAACTCGCCGGGAGAACTCACCGAGCCCGCGCAACGTAGTCGCAGCAGCAGCCCATATAGAGGCAGCAAAACACTTCGTCGTACGCCCGACGAGGCGTCCAGCGGCATATCGAAACCCCTCCCGGACACGTCACGGACAAGAACCAAGGGGCGGAGACGTGGATTGGACTAGCACGAGGAGAGGCGGGCAGAGAAGGCAGGGCCCGCAAACTTATACCCCCGTACCCAGCTGTACATACCTGTACTCTACGAGCCTCATGATTTGATTTTCTTCACACATGCTGCTACTTGACCATCTTTGTGTGTTCGTGATTTGCGCTGCCTTGGTTTAACATGTTTTATGCCAGCTTCGTGACAGACGGACTGGTTCAAGTCGTGATCTCGTTCCGCTAACCAGTGACCAGGCCCCCAAGTCAGCCGCTGGCTGTATAGCCTTGTTTGTCTCCCACTTATGGACGACATGCCCCTTGCAAGCTATTCTATTTCGATTCACCTCCGTTTTGTCGATGTCCCCCATCCTAATCGTGATACCCATGTCTTTTAACCTGGTGGGGCTCGCGTCTTTGTCGTCTGGCTGGCGCGCCTGCGTGATGCGCCCGGGTGATGTCGCCCGAGGTATCGCGGGTGACATGGTCAGGTGGATGTTGGTGGAGAGGCGAGGGCGAGTGACTTGCAGGTTCGCCCGCGCCGCCTATGCTACGATTCTTTGGCTGTCGTCCGTAATGAAGCGGGACGTATTCAAATTGAATGCGATTTGCAAGGTGTTTTTATGCATTCGCCTTGTGCTGCATTGTTCGAACGGCCAGGTGAGGAGTGCTGCATGTTCTGGCTTACGGTCGCGTAGTCTCATGTCAAGAGTATCTGCAGCTTTGCATTTGGTACAGCGAGACGTGGGATAGGCGCTCTATAGCATTTCTTACTATTGAATACCGTGTATGGGACGCAAGATGGCTATTGGCATGTTTGATCAAAAATAATCCGCTGATCAATAGGTCGACTTGAGATTCTGGTGCGGCGATCCGGCCTCGTACGAAACATTGGCAACATCACACCACCCACGGTCGGTGCTGGTGTATAACTTGGGCAACATTTCGACCAGTGCTTGCGAGGACAATGTCGTAGACATAAATTGTCGCTGCAGGGGACTAGTCGCGTTACACGACAAATTGATCGTACCTAATTCTTTTTTGGCCACTTCATGGAAAGAGCTAGGATTTCATGCCGTTCTGTTGCTCAGTGAAACGGTAGATTTCAAGCCCTTCGTCGGCTGTCAACTCTTCGACGAGGCAGCTACACTATTTTCTTGGGCACACTAACCCCTCTCGGACAACGTGAAGGAATACTGGGAGAGATAGAAAAGAAGGCATGATACTCATAGGTGAGAACAGGCACGCAGATGATCGCCTGAGCATTTGACAAAAAGTTCTAATATGTCCACGACTCTCCAAGTTGACAAAAGCCAAAAGATATTGTTTCAGGTCCAACCAGGAATCGAACCTGGGCTGGCGGAATCAGAATCCGCAGTCATAACCATTAGACCATTAGACCAGTGGGACCTTGTTCGTTGAGAGTCCGTGTCGGAAAATTGACTCATGTCATGGAAGGACTGGGGCTCGAGTCAATTTGGACCTCATGAACAACAGACGAGGTGCCTTTCACAACACCACTATACTCGCGGAGACATTCGCAATCTAGCAGGCTAGTCTTCAGGTACTTTCCGTGTAACGAGAACCTGTAGCGTGCACCAGACGATGGTCTCATGTTACCGCCACAGCCACACCAACCCTTGAGGCGTCGTAGTCCGAAAGAAACTCTGGCACAATGATTCCGTACGCAAACACCAAGACCCAGGCTGAAGGTAACGACCTCTTACAGCATGTCACGAGTAGTAAATGGAGAACAAAGTGCCTTGTACCCCTCAGTGCTTTATCTCTTGTCTTCAGGTCCGCCTTGAACACGCTGAGGACACCGAGTCATGGCCCCTTGTCAGTAAGTACCTCGTATTCGACTTCGTCCCACCGGCTTCGGATCGCCCGTCCCGACCTGCAGCTGGGAGTAGATCCGATCACATCAATCACGTTCCCGTAGGATCAAGCGGGCTATTTCTCACCTGCGATCTGATCGGGCCATTTCTCCACTTTGAGCCGCAAGACGACAAGGGCCACCTTCAATGTTCTTTGTTTTGATGAGGGCAACTAGAAACATGATGATAGTCGAAATTCTGACGCTGGTATGATTATCCCAGTTTGACCTGTCAGGAGGTCGGACAACTCGAAGCAGGTAGCAAATGCTGCAAACATCGCTGTATGGCAAACAATTGAGGAGTGTCGTCAATGTCATACGTGGACTAGAAGTGCTATTATCTACAATACCGATGATGGGACCGGAGAAAGCTTCACCCGCGCAGCGTTTGTCAATTCCATCAATTCAAAGACACATTTAGGGCACTAGGCAGCGATGAATTCCAAACCAACAAATATCAATTTCGCGGCAAACTAGTCGATCTACCGCCCAAACTCTGTGCGACGAACATCGCATCTCTCAAGCACGCAGTTGATGAATGGCTGAGGAGAACAAAGGAGCGCCAGTCTGTCTAGAAACAACCACCCGTTCCTCGGTCTCCAGCCACGCCGGAATCTTCCTCTCTGGGCAACACTGTTAGGTATTCCCATCCTTCTCGCCATCACCCGAGGGCTTCTCAATGCCCCTTGGGCGAAGAGGCCGGCTTTCCGACTGAGCTTGTCAGAATATGCTAGCCACTTAAGCGACGCCGTTGTAGGCGAGGCGGTTGGGGGAGCCACGAAGGTTGCCAGTGACGCGGCCAGTGGTGGCAAGGGCGATGAGGCGGGCCTTGGCGGCGGCAGGGCTGGCGAGACCCTCGAGGCGCTGGAGGTAGACAACGAGACCAGCGACGTGGGGAGAGGCCATGGAGGTACCGGAGATGGAGCGGGTAGCGGTGTTGCTGCCAATCCAGGCGGACAGAACGTTGGAGCCAGGGGCGAAGATGGTGACGCCAGCACCCCAGTTGGAGTAGGAGGCAATGGCCCAGGCAGAGTCGACGGCACCGACGGCAATGGCGCTGGCAGCGGAAGCGGGAGAGACGTTGGCAACGTTCTGGTTCTCGTTACCGGCAGCGATGACGCTAACGACGCCCTGGGCCGAGGCAGCGTTGATGGCGTTGTTGAAAGCGGACGAGAAGCCACCGCCGAGGGACAGGTTCACGACGGAGGTGGTGGTGCGTGCCTTGGTGCGGATGTCGTTGGCGGCCCAGTTGAAGCCGGAGAGAATGACGGAGGTCGAGGCGGAGTTGCCGACGAAGACCTTGACGGAGATGATGTTGGTGCGCTTGGCCACACCGTAGGTGGAACCACCGATGGTACCGGCGACGTGAGTGCCGTGACCGCTGGTGTCAGTGTGAGCACCACCAGCAGGGTTGGAGCCGAGAGTGGCACGGCCACCGAACTGCGAGTGCCCAACCTGAACACCACTGTCAACGACATAGGCGTAAGTTCCCTGGCCGGCGCTGTCATCGTAGCGGTAGGTGGTTGAGGCACCGGTGCGCGAGGAGAGCGAGCCAAGGCCGTAGGGGGCACCGGACTGGCTGGTGACAGCGAAGAGGGTCCAGATCTGGTCCTTCTCGACAGCGGCAACCTGAGAAAAAGTACTGTTAGGGGAGTTGTCTTTGAATGTAAGAGCGCCATTGTAGAATCCGACTCACCTCAGGGCTGGCCTTGATGGCCTCGAGAGTCTCCTCGTCGAACTTGCCAGAGTAACCGTGGTAAGCGCCAATGTCGTAGTGCTTCTTAACGCCAGGGAAGTCGCGCTTGTTCAGGGCGCGGGCCTGGACCTCGTTGAGCCAGTCAAGGTGAGACTCGACATCACGAGCCTCAAGGTCGTCCTTGAGGGTAATGATGTAGCTGTCCTTGGCGGATGCGCCGACGACTCCGAAGCTCTCGGCATCGCGCTCCTCGCTCTGGACGGGGGCGGCAAGACCGACGGGCAGGAGAGCCGCGACGAGGACGCTCAGGCGCTGGAAGTTGTTGACCATTTTGAAGACAGTGAGACGATGAGAAGATACCGGTAGATGATGTTGCTGATGCTGAGATGAGGCTGGATGAAGAGAGGAGGCATTATCATCGAGGACGAAGGCCACCTCTTATATAGCTGACCAGGACAGCGAAATTGTCGAGCTCCTTGCAGCGCATCATGATTCTCAACTACGCCGTAGAGCCAAAACAGCAACGGCATTGAGTCGGGCATGGCGTCAATAGCGCGGTCGCCTCACGACATGATGCCGAGCGGTTGCACGATGCCATGCCAGGATCGTGTCTCAGGCCCAAGCCACAGGCCAGAGGGTCCAAAAGTCTGGAGCCGGGCTGTCATGAGCTTCCTCTTCCAGAAAGCCATATCATGACGCGAGTGGCACGCAGATGTCGTCGATAACACGATGCGCAAAGGGGAAGGAGACGAAGCACATGGGTATTCCGTGACCAAGGCGTCTAGCACGTCGAGGATGCGGAGGGGCCCCATCAAAGAGGAAGTTGGCGACGTTGAGAGGCGGGGAAGGAGACGAGTAGCGCGACGAGACCGACTTGCAGATGCCGGGGCAGAGTCGACAACGTACAGCACGTAGTTACTTGGCAATGCAACGAGGCTATCAGGTGCGCGTGCCTGTGGTAGAGCTGGCGCTAAGCTGAGGGACTGCAGATGTCTTGACCATCCATTTGCCAGTCCTACCTGCTCGCAGTGAGCTGTCACACAGGTTCTCCATTCCTCAAGGCCCTTCAACCATGTGCAGTTGCACAACGCTCGATTGAGCAGGGCCTATGGCGGGGCGGCGCTGCGGGTACCTGAACTGAACGACGTGGTGATACCGGCAGTTGAGGCCGACTCGCCGGGCATGAGCAATAGGAAACTGGCCAAAGCTTGATGGCGCAGGGTCTCTGATGCTCGTTCGCCTCAGCTCATCGAACAAGAGATGCCGATTGAGATGCGTAGACAGAGCGGCAGGGCTCATAACATATCGAGCTGTACAACCTTCGGGCATCACAGCCTTCCCATACTGTACTTCCAAGACATGAAACCCGGTGCCGTGAGCAGGGACATGCCTTGCCATGCCGCTCCCCAGGAGGGGTTCTAAGGAGGCAACCAGAGCGAACCACGGGAACAGGGGGGCGGGCGATCAGGAGATCCGGACTACTCAGACGGCAAGATCACTACTGCGTGGAATATATTATAGGTGTGCTGAATAGGCCTGGTCCGGCCCATAGTCTACATTAGTCCAATCAAGAACCAAGGTTGACTTGGCCCTCTGTAGGCACCCTGCTGGCCATGATGTGCTGAGGTCGATCTCCAGAGGCTGGCCCTAACAGATGGATGCGTGGTAGGGTAGCCAAACTTTCCTTTCTTGACAGAGCGTGTTTCAGCCAGCGAATGGTCGATACTGGGGAACGCTCAAGGACGGTCGTCGATGCAGGCTGGGATTGGACATGTGAATGGCCTTCCTCTTTGGGCAGTCAATCCGCTCTACGTGACCATTACGATCAGCATCTGGCTCTCGAAAGCAACGGGCATGTCCAATAGCGATGATGAACAGAAGCGGTAGTATGGCGATAAATTAGAGGGTCGTCTTCAGGGTGTGCTCTTACTGTTTAGTCGTCCATGGTATCTTGGCCCCGCGTTAGTAACTCACGACTGCAGGTGTCGAGAGGATGTGTAGTGACGTAGCAGAGGCCTAAAGGGCCGTCCTCATTGGATCGAGAGGCGCATTTGATTTGCCCCTCGCCGGAGATTCATCGAGCAACAGGTAAATGATGTCGTCCAGTGCCATAGAAAAGGCAGGTGTTTGTTTGACAGACAGCTGAAGTCTTCACAGTTATGTCCCACTGTGCGGAGGTGTTACACTGCAGGTGGCTAGACGAAGCATAGAGCTTGATAGAAGATGCTCACTCGGCAGCGGTGAGTGGTCCACGGAGATGCTACTAGTTATGACGTGAGATGGCATCAGGAGATGCTGGTCATGGTGTTGAGGTGACAGATGGATGGAAGAGGAAGGGAGAGAGGGGCAGAATGGAGGAAGCCCAGGAGCAATGAGCTGGCTGCTGCAGCGCATGTTTCTTCAGTGGGTCCAAATGCTCCTGGCTCAACGGGGGACTGCCCCTCCTTGGGAAACGCCTGCATTTTTGACAGCTGATCGCGCAGTTTGCACTGTACCAATGCGCTCTGAAGCCGTGGGACACAGTGTGAGGACGTAGATGGCTCCTAGCCCCTTCCTCCTAGGCTCTGGTGCCCTGTAAGATCCATTACATGTACATGGTACAGCTCTCCACTCCTTTATTGATGGCGCCGTCTTGATAAGCCGATTGGGTCTGGGGCAGTGAGCACGATCTTGTTCGGTACTTCCTTCCCTGCTTGTGAACCGAATGGACCGGCGTACCGCCATGATCTCCATCGGGCGCCAGATCCAGACTAGGACGGCTGAGTAAGACCGTTCCATCGACAAGCACCTCAACCTGCACCAGATTGCGATTGCATCCATCCTCCGTGGCATTCCCTATCATCCTTTGACCAACCTGACAGCCAAGCACACATGTAGCCGCCCAACCCTGAGCCAAGCATGCTATTGTCGAGATTCCCTCAACCGCTCTCAAGCTTAGGACAAGACTATTGACGTGCCTGACCAGGCCATCGATGCGCGACTGTCGATCCATTCGGCACCAAGCCTCTCTAGCGCGACGCGTTCCTTGCCAGCTTATCACCTCTGATGGCATCCGAAGCTTGTCAACCACGCCGCACTTGAGCTGGACTGAAGCTCCGCCTTCGCTGGCTTCATCCCGGCACCTTCCCGTCTGGTCCATGTCCAACCCCTATAGCCCGGCCCTCGACGAGCCCGCGGCCACTGTACGTGACAGGTCTAGAAGCTTCCCTAGCCGGGTGTCTCTCCAGCTACACGCCAAACAGGCGCCCCCCACGATATCTCATGCACGATGCGGCCCGCGCCACCACCTGATGAGGATGCGTCCCCATGCCCATCGCTCACGCCCGCAATGCCGCTTCCGCAGCACGCCATCGACATTGTGCCTAGGGGTTGAGACACGCTTTGGACCTGCTGCAGAATCACCTCCTCTCCTCATCACTGGTTCTGCGCCGAAGCGGTCGCTGTCGCCTTGTGCTACTTGCGGGCTTCTTCTCTGCTTCTGGAAGACGTCTCGGAGATGCTCATTCCGTCTGACTGATGTGTACTCTGGACTTCAGGACCTTCCCGATGCTCCAGCTCAGTCAGACTCATGACGACTTAGCTCAACCCTAGGCTTCGGCACAAGATCTCGATTGTGCGGCCTCACTCATTAATCGCGACGTGAAGGAAGTTTGATGCCCTGCAGACTCCGCTCCTCGCTCCACAGAAGTGCCGCAGCTTGCCCGGGAAATCATATACTTGATCTCCGCTAATCGGTGATAACAATAACCTCGACAACAATCCCGTCGCAGACTTGGCTCAGTCGATGTGGTGAACCCCCCTAGCTCAGGTCACATCCTTCATGCTTCGTTGATGCAGATGGCTCCTCGGGCGTTTGCCACCGGCAACAGTAGCAGAGCACAAGGGTCATGTTTTCTACATGCAGTAGGTGGTACAACTCGCCTTGGACTTGGCCATTCTCGCGTGACAAAGGGCGCCTTCTCAAAACAGCAGGCACAGATCTTAGCACCAACTTTGGCGCTCGGCAGTCGACACTCGCACACCATCAGCGACGTCACCCCGGGATCCTGATCGCCACGCCTCAGCTGCTGCCCCATCTGGCTTGGGCCGGCATCGCCCAGGCATCGCTGCCTGACGATCATGAGATCGATAACGATCTTGGCTTGATACCTTCTCTGACTCTCTTCACGCAAGCTGCTACGCAGATGGTGTAAGATGCTTCGCCGTCGCAGATTCACGGATCAGAGTCGAGCGACCTTCCTTTCACGATGGCCAAGCCTGTGATACCGAAGCTAGCCTTCGCAAGCCATTGCGTGATACGTTCTTCACGAGGCGCCGCCACTACTCGCCGCTGCCGTTGGAACCTCCAAGTCAGGGGCTCGGCGTCGGTGGTGGAGGATCGCATCAGTAGGCCGTTGTCAGCCTTGAGGCGTTTGTTGATCATCGTCCCCGTTGTACAAGACTGATTAGCGCCTTGTCCCAGATATTGACGGCTTGCAAAGCCTCTGCCTCTCACAGACCCAGGCCCCTCCCGCTCCTCGTCCCTTGATCTATTTCCAGAAGACAGGTTTGTGATGCGTCAAATAAGGCACATCGGACCTTAACGATTCGCCCATTGCCTTGCCGAGAACTAGCCGTACCTTGTGTGACAACACCGTGTCCAAGGTCGTCCTACCCAGGACTGGCAGGCTCTTGACTTCTTCCCATTGCTGTGGATGTGCGAGCGAATATTTCCGGGGAGTTTTCGGGTTCACGAGGAGGCACATCTCTTCACGTATTGGAACTGGTGTCTCCTATTACAAACTCCAAATCGAGTCTCCACACTGGTCTTCGGGGAGTCCGGCAAGCCCAGGACCGATTGATTCATGACTATGTAGGCAACTAGTCAATATCGGCCCCCAATGTCTCGCCGTGCTCCGATCGAACGTAATGCCCCTTTGTCTTACCATTCGCTGCCCCGGAACGCATCTCGTAATCTTCTCCATCGCTCCCGAAACCACGACGTTTCCTCTTCGTTGCTGTCGCTACTACTATCCACCATTGTGACGCTTCCCTCCCATGTGTTGGTATGCGCAGGAATGGTCTCGTTGCGGCCATCGAAGATGACGGCTTCATGATGCCTGACAGCTATTACAGATGCCCACTGGGGTACAGCAGGCCATCAGGATCGCGACTCCATTCCTACAACAGCTCCGTTACAACACCACAAAGGTGCTTCAAATATCGCCTTTTCTCTGCAGTGCTTCCTTCAAAAGAATAACCCAGTTCTTCCAACAGTACAGTCAATGCGGGGCCCTGCTTTGATCAGTAATAGAAAACCCCAAGTAGAAACCCAAGGAAACATACCATTCAT